TACTTAAAAGCATGTGTCAGACATTGAGGAAGAATCTGAAGCAACAAGAGACTTCAGCTCCGAAGACGGCTGACAATTTTATATTCCACATTCACATTCATATGACAGCTACAAAACTACATATGTCAAGAATAAGTGGGTGTAATTAATACAAAGGTCTTTGTTTTAATATTGAACCAGGAGGGTTTATGCAAGTCAACCGACTACAAATTTACTAAACACCATACTTAATAACCTTTATGCTATGAAGTTAATCCAGATCTTAAAGAATATGAAGCAACAAAAGACTCAAGATTGGCCGACAAATTTAAACTTCATCTTTGATATCATTATAGTCTATAAAACTATATATACCCTAAAGATCTCAAAGCTACATATTTTATTTCACACTGGACATCCTACAATCAATCATAAATGTGTAATACAATGCCAAACGTTTATTTACTTGAAAGCATGTGTCAGACATTGAGGAAGAATCTGAAGCAACAAGAGACTTTAGCTTCGAAGACGGCTGACAATTTTATTTTCCACATTCACATTCATATGACAGCTACAAAACTACATATGTCAAGAATAAGTGGGTGTAGTGTAATTGATACCAAATTCTTAGTTTTAATATTGAACCAGGAATACATTTACAACTGATTACAAATTTATTGAACACAATCCTAAAGAAAATTTTATGCAGTGAAAATAATCCAGACCTTGAAAAGTATGAAGCAAGGAAACACTTGGATTTTCTGAACTTCACCTCTGATCTCTTAGTAAACAAAACGGCATATAGCATGAAGTTCTCAGAGCTACATATTTTTTTTTCACACTGGACATCATACAATCTATCCTTATTGTGCAACACTATTCCAAACAGGTGTTATACTTAAAAGCATGTGTCAGACATTGAGGAAGAATCTAAAGCAACAAGAGACTTCAGCTCCGAAGACGTCTGACAATTTTATTTTCCACATTAACATTCATATGACAGCTACAAAACTACGTATGTCAAGAATAAGTGGGTGTAGTGTAATTGATACCAAATTCTTGGTTTTAATATTGAACCAGGAATACATTTACAACTGGCTACAAATTTATTGAACACAATCCTAAAGAAAATTTTATGCAGTGAAAATAATCCAGCCCTTGAAAAGTATGAAGCAAGGAAACACTTGGATTTTCTGAACTTCACCTCTGATCTCTTAGTAAACAAAACGGCATATAGCATGAAGTTCTCAGAGCTACATATTTTTTTTCACACTGGACATCATACAATCAATCCTTATTGTGTAACACAATACCAAACATTTATTTACTTGAAAAGATGTGTCAGACATTGAGGAAGAATCTGAAGCAACAAGAGACTTCAGCTCCGAAGACGACTGACAATTTTATTTTCCACATTAACATTCATATGACAGCTACAAAACTACGTATGTCAAGAATAAGTGGGTGTATTGTAATTGATACCAAATTCTTAGTTTTAATATTGAACAAGCACCACATTTACAACTGATTACAAATTTATTGAACACAATACTAAAGAAAATTTTATGCAGTGAAAATAATCCAGACCTTGAAAAGTATGAAGCAAGGAAACACTTGGATTTTCTGAACTTCACCTCTGATCTCTTAGTAAACAAAACGGCATATAGCATGAAGTTCTCAGAGCTACATATTTTTTTTTCACACTGGACATCATACAATCAATCCTTATTGTGTAACACAATACCAAACATGTGTTGTACTTAAAAGCATGTGTCAGACATTGAGGAAGAATCTGAAGCAACAAGAGACTTCAGCTCCGAAGACGACTGACAATTTTATTTTCCACATTAACATTCATATGACAGCTACAAAACTACATATGTCAAGAATAAGAGGGTGTAGTGTAATTGATACCAAATTCTTGGTTTTAATATTGAACCAGGAATACATTTACAACTGACTACAAATTTACTAAACACCATACTTAATAACCTACAATCAATCATAAATGTGTAACACAATCCCAAACATGTGTTGTACTTAAAAGCATGTGTCAGACATTGAGGAAGAATCTGAAGCAACAAGAGACTTCAGCTCCGAAGACGTCTGACAATTTTATTTTCCACATTCACATTCATATGACAGCTACCAAACTACATATGTCAAGAATAAGTGGATGTAATTGATACGAAATTTTTAGTTTTAATATTGAACCAGGAATACATTTACAACTGGCTACAAATTTATTGAACACAATCCTAAAGAAAATTTTATGCAGTGAAAATAATCCAGACCTTGAAAAGTATGAAGCAAGGAAACACTTGGATTTTCTGAACTTCACCTCTGATCTCTTAGTAAACAAAACGGCATATAGCATGAAGTTCTCAGAGCTACATATTTTTTTTCACACTGGACATCATACAATCAATCCTTATTGTGTAACACAATACCAAACATTTATTTACTTGAAAAGATGTGTCAGACATTGAGGAAGAATCTAAAGCAACAAGAGACTTCAGCTCCGAAGACGTCTGACAATTTTATTTTCCACATTCACATTCATATGACAGCTACCAAACTACATATGTCAAGAATAAGTGGATGTAATTGATACGAAATTTTTAGTTTTAATATTGAACCAGGAATACATTTACAACTGGCTACAAATTTATTGAACACAATACTAAAGAAAATTTTATGCAGTGAAAATAATCCAGACCTTGAAAAGTATGAAGCAAGGAAACACTTGGATTTTCTGAACTTCACCTCTGATCTCTTAGTAAACAAAACGGCATATAGCATGAAGTTCTCAGAGCTACATATTTTTTTTTCACACTGGACATCATACAATCAATCCTTATTGTGTAACACAATACCAAACATTTATTTACTTGAAAAGATGTGTCAGACATTGAGGAAGAATCTAAAGCAACAAGAGACTTCAACTCCGGAGGCGGATAACAATTTTATATTCCACATTCACATTCATATGACAGCTACAAAACTACATATGTCAAGAATAAGTGGATGTATTTGATACAAATTAAGAGTTTTATTTTTGAACCAGGAATATATCTACAAGTCAGATCAACTGTATACAAATTGATTGAACACCATACTAAAGAAAAATTTATCAATGAAGATAATCCAGACCTTGAAGAATATGAAGGAACAAAAGTCTTAAGATTTGCGAACAATTTTACATTTCACCTCTGATCTCATTGGCTACAAAACTACATATACTACAAAGCTCTGAGATACATATTTATTTCACACTTGACATCCTACAACCAATCATAAATGTGTAACACAATACCAAACATGTGTTATACTTAAAAGCATGTGTCAGACATTGAGGAAGAATCTGAAGCAACAAGAGACTTCAGCTCCGAAGACGGCTGACAATTTTATTTTCCACATTAACATTCATATGACAGCTACAAAACTACATATGTCAAGAATAAGTGGATGTAATTGATACGAAATTTTTAGTTTTAATATTGAACCAGGAATACATTTACAACTGGCTACAAATTTATTGAACACAATACTAAAGAAAATTTTATGCAGTGAAAATAATTCAGACCCTGAAAAGTATGAAGCAACGAGACTTGGATTTTCTGACAAATTTAAACTTCACCTCTAATCTCATAAGCTACAAAACTACATATACCCTGAAGGTCTTAGAGCTACATATTTTATTTCACACTGGACATCATACAATCAATCCTTATTGTGTAACACAATACCAAACATGTGTTATACTTAAAAGCATGTGTCAGACATTGAGGAAGAATCTGAAGCAACAAGAGACTTCAGCTCCGAAGACGGCTGACATTTTTATATTCCACATTCACATTCATGTGACAGCTGAGCTACAAAACTACACATGCCAAGAATTAGTGGGTGTAATCATAGGCTACAATTACTCATTTTTTGCAAGTTTACACATTTGAAATGTATGTATCATAGATTCATAGTGATGCACGTGTTTGTAACAACCTTATCAGATTATACAAAATATTAGTGAAATATTCTAACTTACTAGCATGTTCTCTTGCCACACATGCATGGTCTTGTCACCATTTCACTGACATATCAAGTTTCACTAACAGCTTCAGTCATTAAGGTTCCCCCCAACCAACACATGCTTGTTCAATGTATTTTGATGAAACAAAAAGGCCAACACTCTGACAAGTCATCCGATCACAAAAATAATTAACATCAATGAAATTAAGTGATCACGTCTGGGCCATAACACCATAAATGTTACAGCTTTGTTTAAGCACTTCTGAAAAGATTGGTTCTCCGGCACACTTTGGAGACACAAAGCTCTCATGGTGATTTTAATCATTCTACAAATGATGTTAAATATCAAACTTAATTAATATTCAACAGTCCCTTTTTAAGCAGTCATTTTGAGAAGAAAAAAAAATCTCGACCGACCTTTAACCCTGGCCAGCACATTAACACATCTGATAAGGAATGAAGATAAACCTGGTAGGTCTTCACAACATATTTTGCTAAACCAGAGGATTTCACATTTTTAGAAGTTTTTAATGAAGTTCTGAATAGATTTCACACCTGTGACTCTACATAATGCCAAAAGTATGTTTTGAAAGTGGTTTAAAAGACAATCGGCAATTGGTCACTTGAGGCATTTGCCTGACTGAACTTAAAACATCAGCTTCTAAACTTTAGATGTGTCAGACATTGAGGAAGAATCTGAAGCAACAAGTGACTTCAGCTCCGAAGACGGCTGACAATTTCATATTCTACCTTTGCATTAATGTGACCGCTACAAAACTACACATGTATATGGCAAGAATGGGTGGTATATGGAGGAGGGCATTCAAATTAACATAGTCTTACCTTTCCTTCTCCAGAGCTGACAAGGACATCCACAGCAAATACATCATACATTTCAAATTCACACTTTTCATGTTCTTTGCTGTGAAAAGAATAAAATGACAATTATTTAGGTTATTACATAATACATTGCATGTTGAATTGGCAATCAGCCATTCTGATTGATATCTCGCCTTTTGTCTTGCTTTGACCATCAATGCACATGCAAAGATTGGTTGATCTAGCACTTAAACGCAACATCTTAATGTTGATGGAGATGCTGACAAAAGTCAATGGACCATGAAAAGTAGGCCGCATCCAGCATTTGATGCATGGGTTGAGATGACTACCTAAGATGCATCTATTGTCCAAGTTTGGTTGGTGTAGCACTAATACTTTCAGTCAAACTAACTTAAACGCAAAAACTTAACGTTGACGGAAAAGCAACACCTTTGTCTCGATTACCCTACTTCGTGGGGGCAAGACAAAAATGATACTGAAGTCAATTTTCATATGACAAAAATAAGTATGTTATAAGAAAATATGCCCCTCTTTCAGGACAATATTTCAACTGTAGTCCATTGTGGAGGTTTGACATAGATATACTTAATTTAAAACTTATATATGGGCATATCAAAATTGGTCAATATGAATCTGCCTCGACTAAAAACTTGGTTTAAATCTTGCCATTTTAGGGAAATTACATGACAGAAACCTCTCTCACTAATTATGCATCATAGCTGGAGACTTGCCATTATGTATGTGCAAATCGAAATTGGTTGAAGTGTAAACATTCTGTGGCAGTTATTTGACAGAAACCCATTAGCCAATCAGAATCATGAAGCCTTATATATCATGTGAAAATATGCAAACATCACATTAGTGACCTAACTTAGCCCCAGACTTGCCATTAAATTAAGTTGAAACTGAACCATCTTTAGGGCAGTTATTGCACAGAAACGAATCACCTGAATTGAGTAGCTTCATCAATTATGTGTAGATATGCATGCAATCTGATTAAAATCATCTGTTACATGGCTCCGCCTGAACATCTGAATGTGTCGCAGTCAGGGTCACGTTCAAGTGACCTTTAGATGAACCAATCAGAGGCGCGCTGGCAAAAATCGGAATATCATGGTTATTAATAAATAGTGAGGGGTATCGAACAGATTAGTTTCCAAAACGATGATTCCGCGCCTAGCCGGAATTGGCCGAGAAGTTGCGATTGGCGGCGGGAACTGACGTTTCTACGACGCCAAGGAAAACGTACCCATTGGGTAATAATTGCGTAGGCAACACCACCATACAGTCTTTCTTCTCTAATAAAGCTTCGATTTTTATTCTGTTCGGGTTTCAGACGATCTCAAATTACTTCAGAACTTTCGCATCATTCTCATCAATGTCCGACATATTTGTTACATCTCTGAGCGCCCTTTTGAAAGAGGGTCTCTGATTGGTCAAAATTTAATGAGTATTTATAAATATAAAGGTCACCTGAACGTGACCCTGACCGTGGCACACTCAGATGTTCAGGCGTAGTACAAAGTTAACGAAGCCATGTAACATGTGATTTTAATCAGATTGATATGCATGCATCATATTGGTGATTGAACTAAACCGAGACATATCTCTATACCAAATCTGGTGAAATTGGACCAGTATTGGGGCAGCGTGACCAATGGATTGAATTTTTTGATCCACACAAATTAATATCATAATTTCACTGAAACCAGTGAATAAAAAATGTTAGTTCAAGGTATCTTACTTGGCCAATTGGGAAAGGGGGCAAATAAACTGACTGAAGACTTTCTAAAAATATACTAAAATAGAGACTTCATTTATATTTCTTGATAGGTTACAACAAAGAGAACTATTGAATCAATAATATGGAGGAGGAAGAGGGACCATTTGACTTTCAACATTTTGAGTTACCATTCTTTTGAGCTATTAGTATTATATAAAGAGGTCTCTTGGAGGATCTCAGGACATTCAAGTTCTTTCAATTGCTTCTGGTATCTTTTTTAATTTTTGCTTTTGGATTCCGCCAATAAAATGAATATTGGGATAACCTCTACATAATTGATCTCATGCACAAAATAGTGGTACCTTAGTAATATTTCTCAGAATCCTTTTTTCTTTTTACTTAATTGTAACAAAACAGCCATGAGACTAATAAACAAGAAAAACCATTTACTAGAGATAAACCTCAATCTGGCTCTTGGACTAATATTTTGAAAGTTCTACAACAAACATAATTTCCATGCAAACATCAGGCAGCACAACTATTGGGGTTTAAACGTGGCCATAACAACAGGCCTGACCTATATTTTCCTGGTTAATGGTGCATTTTTCACTAGCCCGACATAAAATCTACCAGGTAAGATTGTCAGCTAGTCAAATTATACACATCTTAGACATTTTAATACTTTGCAGGGACTTGGTGATTTTTTCTTTCTTTACAGCCATCACAAATCACATTTCACATTGGTTTCAAACCAAAGATTTGTTTTTTTCAATAAAACTTGATTCACACCAATCTAGAACAAGGTTTTAGAACTCTCCCAACTTTGAAAAGCTGAACAGGCAGAAGGCAGTCATGACAATAGGTGATAGCCAGGTTAATGGGTAGTTTGGGTATAAAGACTTTTTAGGTATTGCCATAACACTCTTACTTACCCAATTTTGGCTTCAAATTTTTTCCTAGTTCACAGTAAATCATTCTTTTAGGTTATTTGCATTCCTCAATAACACTTTGATTGACAGAGTTAAGACTTTGGTTCTAGCATAACAATTGATCCAGAAAATGTATAAACAATTGACAAAAAATCTTCATATAACAGATTTCTAAACTAATTTCAAACTGGTATTAAACACTCAAGCCACTTGCTAAGATCATGTTAATTTCAGTACCACTGCAGATATAGAGCATAAACAAAACTATCTCTCCGTAATCTGGTGCTTAGTGCCATATGGCATTATTTGAATGTATGGGTTTTAATATTTCAGATGGTTAACGAATGAATAGATGACAAGATTCATTAACTTTGGCTGAAGTCCCTACTACCTATTTGTTACCTTTGTGCTTCTGTTGGGTTCTGGATAATGGCTTTCTCTCCATCTATCACATGCTGTTTCAGCTGGTGGGACAGCATACCTGTTAATATGATACACAGCATCTCAAGTATCCATTATTGAGTATACATACTCTCATTTCCAAGAAAGTTTGTATTTCAATATTTTGCATTACTTCACTCCAAGGGATTAAGCATCTTATTGAGCGTTAATTCTAATCATCTACGGATAGTTTGGTGTAATCCCCTTTTAGAAGTATCATTTCAGCTCAGCCCCTCTGCACCCTGGAAGTCGGCTCCTTCTCAAGTATTCATTCTGATTTCCAACAAAGGCTGCTGATTATCACTTAACTTTATCAATCTGACAGGCAGTTTCTCAGAAGTTTAAAATATCATGTGCCAGACAATATGAAAAGACTTACCTTCTACAGGTTTGCAGTCAAAGGCCTTGGCCACTTTTGATATTGATTCTGTTACTTTGTTATTCTGAAACACAAACAAAATATAAATGACAGGAGAACAAAAATAACATCAACACCACCTGCTGCAATTAACATGATGCACGAAATATAAAACATTTAGAAATATTTGGATTACAAACCTTATTTTAAAATATACTTATTTTATTCCTTCAAAAATACATGATATGTTCAAAATATGAGCAGTTCTTATTGCTTAACTTGCCAGAAGACCCAGGGCAATGTCAGGGTACTGAGCACTAGCCATTTCACATAGAAGGAGAAGTAACTCCAGAGAACAAATCTTTACCAAAGTTGTCGTCTTTGATTACTCATTAATTTTAACATATATATCCGCAAGTTTTGTAATAAACTTATAATCTGTGATTTCACTGGCAAATGTGTTAATCTGTAAAACCATACTTTTGTCTGCTGTGAGAAATATTTGGACAGATATTATTGTACTATACACAATATAATGCAAAGTGACTTTTGAAGTATATTTTTACTAGGATCTACATGGTACATGATTCCAGGTTCTCCGTCATGTCCATTGCTATGCACTCTTCCCTACCTAAGGCATGTATAACCAAGAGTCCTGCCATGTGCAGGACTGTATTTATGACACATAGATAAAATGTATAAAATGTATAATTTTTATAATTTGTTTATTTTTAAAGACAATTTTATTACATAAATATGTAAACACCACATACACCCACATGGTGTTATGGGATCCCGCTTATATGTCTGTATCCACCATAATAAATCACTTGTCAACTTAGAGTTTGAAGCCATAGTATTTTTCTCATATTTGTTTTTCTTTAATTGACAGATTGCACCTGTAAAAATATTTTTAAGTCTAGAAAAATCTTGATTCCCTCATTTTCAAAACTACTTTACCCAACGATTTTGGTTTGGAAGGATATTTTTGCCTTAAAAACACACAGATTTCACTGGATTAAATGTCCTGACAACTTAAATTTCTATTGGTATAGATTGTCACCCTTTCGAGGGACCTCATTCAAGAGAAGTCAGCTACTCACATCGTTGCCAGGTTTGACAAGTCGGAGACACGCCTCAGCTGCTTGATGGGCTGCCATGATCACATCCGCTCGTCGACCATCCACCTTGTTTTCCTGTTTACACAAAAATGAATACAACACCAGTGTAGAAATTCATGATTACATATCATTTCAACTGCTCAAGTAAGCAAAGCAATATAAAACATTCTGATCTTGATCAAGCAGGTGTGTGGTTTAAGTAGAAGCCAAAGTATGTTTTATAATTATTAAAATTTAACACTTAACTTAACCTACCTTAATGAAGCTGTTTTTTTATTTTAGTTTTACTTCACATACAGATACAGAGCATGAAGATGTAGACCATCAATATCTTGTCAACAGGTCTGAGTACCCAGTTTTACACCATCTGAAGGCCCAAAAGGCGATTACTAATTATACTTTACGTCTAAATAGACTAATCGAACAGTCTACACATCAGGATTAAACTAAACATTTGCATTATAGTAACCGAGTTACATGCAAGACAACACTCGAACCGATGCCAGGGTTCAATTCTGTTAAATGCTCCTGCGAGACTTTCTATCTCTTAATTGGATCAAAGTACACATGCAAGTAGCATTTTTTTTCTGCCAGGCACATAAGTAGAATATAAAACTTATCTCATTAGTATTTATGATTAAATTTGAGTTTCTTTAACCTAATCCCTATTAGTCTATTTTGAGATGACAACAAATGGTTGTGTTTATTTTGTGCCAGGCAAAGCTTAACTGGCATTACATATTCTATCAATTAATCTGCGAACGGTTTACATACAAGTGAGGCTCCAACCACCAGTGTGTGAGCAACGACAGCGATGAACCCGTCGATGTGTGCGCCAAGGTCTCTGTAACACATTAAAACATAAGAAACTTTGACATTCATCGTGGTGCACTTGTACTATGATTGTTTATGTCTAACATCATTAACAATACATACTTTGTTCTTTTCAATCACATTTGAGCATAATTGTATGAAGAGCCTAATTGTCTCTGTTGACAGTGTTGTGCTCTTTTTCTTAGGTGTATCTCTGCACACACATTCGCTATTATATTACACTAGGTGCATAAAACAAACAACAAAGGAAGCAAATGTTTGGTCTAAAATCCAGAGATAAACATTTAATCGTTTAAAGATTAACTTACATTTTGACAACATCCCCATTCTTCAGCAACACCTCAGGATCAGTCTTGAGTGGGGAAAAATGGCAGATACAATTGTTGACAGATACACAGGTTGGGAAGGCAATACCTGTAAACACAAGTTGGATAAAACTGTAATTCAGATGTATCAAACACACAATAAACACCAAAGAAATATTGAAGAATAAACTGAAGCCAGTACCACCAGAAAGACTTAAGGTTGGACAATTTTATCTCCCTTATTTACGTTTGTTGTGGCAGCTGCTCTTGTCAAGAATAAGGGCTTAAATTTCTGACAGGGGATGAAACATTCTCTACAATTATGATCATATCTTGCCTTGGCAATTTTTCCTAAACTAATCATGAAAGCAATTTGCTCAATCATGCAAAAGCATTGTCCAAACCTGTCTATTTCATAATGTAATGTTGGCTTCACATATAAAACAATCCATTACATTTCAGAAAATTGATTCTGAAATTCTGTTGTTTGAAGAGAAATTAACCCTTAGGCTGCCACATTGATTTCTATGTAAAGGGACGCCACTGCTGAATTTATTATTGAAATATAAATTAATTTACTTAGTTTTTCAAATGCGCATAACTTGAAAAATATTTGTTTTATGTGAATAAAAGTTTCAGGAAAATTGTTCGTTATTGTCTCTAGTTTATATTAACGTTTTCGATTCTAAAGTTGCTCAGTATTTACCTGTACAGGTGGTAATAAAGGTAAGAAAAGGTGAAACTTTTAATCAATCGGATTTAAGCACCAGAAAGATCATTTTAAAATTGTTTTTGTCAGCAAATGTGATTGGAAAATGATAACAGAGATTATAAACTTCATTTATGACATAAGACGCTGTACATTTACACAGATTCACAGGTAAAAAGGTCAGGTATTTATTTCATCAAGAATTGCATGCGATTTGCTACAGGTTTCAGGTCGTCATTCAATATATTTATTGACACAGGCGGCATATAGATATATCTAAGCTACGGTCTAGTTTATGATTAAATCATCGATAAATAGTTTGAAGAAATAAATCGGCTCAAAATGTATCAATGTCAATGTTCAATTCGGCCTCAACTGCAGACGACATCATGACATGTGCGTCTCGGTCCGCAGATATTTTCATGTTTGCGTAGGGCACAAAGCCGTTCATTTGAAAGTTACATATTATGTTACACCTAAGTATTTCCACATCAACCATGTCAAACCCTTTTAAACCTTTATTATCATCGTAGGTGACGCTGGAGAATAAATGCTTACCATCATATTCATCACTTTAATCTACACGTCCGCCATTTTTATGACGTTTTTTCCGATTTTGAAATTCTCTTGCACACTTTGATTATTATTACTAGGGTACATTGCCGGTAATATCGAAAGTAATGACAAAACAACCAATCAGAAGCCTTCTACTATACGCTTTCTGGTTTGGTATAGCAACAGTCCGCTTTCACACTTCCTGTTTACTGATCAAAAACCTACAGACCGCACGCCACTATTGTGGTGCGTAGCACTGACGGCCCGACTTTTCGGATCCACTATTGTGGCGCGTAGCAGCCTAAGGGTTAAGACATCTGAATCAAGAATTTCAACTGCTTTTTGTGCATATTTCTGGTAGATAATATAAATAATACATTTTTTATTTATTGTACAGTCAAACTCATTTCATGGTCAAATGAAAATCACCTTTCTTCATTTCCTTGTCTTTCTTGAACACTTTGTTGGTCTCTTCCAGCAGACGACCATCTCCAAACTCGCATACTGAAAGCGCTGACACCCCATCAACACATTTTGCTACAACCTCCTTAATGATTCCTGAAAAAAATGAAAAAAATAAAATAAAAATCCTTTCGAAGTCAAATATTCCAAGATTTGCGCTGCATTTGACTCTGAAGTCAGAATTTATTCTCGAGTACAAGTAAAATCGAAAAACTGGAAATTACTTATCGAAAAGTAATTTAAACTATTAAATAAACAAAACTGACACAAAGTCACATATAGTCACATGATCAAATAATATTCCAGATCTAGGCTAATATAGTCAGGTCGGGGAAACCACAAACCCTTACCCATGCAAAAACTCTTTTACGAAATTAACAAAGTCCGTTTTTGGGGGAAAATAGAAACGACCGCCATGACCGATCACGCGTGATGTTATCTCAATTATCCTTTCTATATATGGCCTGCATGGCCAAATATAGTATTATTACAGATACCGCCATGTTTACTACAATTTCCATATTGGGTCATGACACCCATATTTGGACGTCTGCCCTATATCGGAAGAGAGATGAACTTTCCAACATGGCGGTCAATTCAGATTTCGATTCGCTTAATTGCTACGTTTACTTGATAATTTAACGACATTTTAGGCAGAGTTTAACTTCAAGTTGTGCAGGATATAAACAGAAATAGTTCATACTACAACCTTATTTATGGATGTGGAACAATGTGCTGTCAATTAATTCTAAAATCGCCCCAGTGTGATTCACACAGGGCTTGCTCCATTACAAGGCATGGGATCGATTTAATACCCGGCCGGGTATTAATATCAGTACTATACATCAAGTAACCCACACTTCAGTAAACATCTTTTAGCAAAATATTATTTATCTTGTAGTAAATCAATGCAATTTTAAATAATATATTGCAAAAGTTACTGTTTAAGCCATTTGGGTTACTTTTAGGAACAAATCCATACTCCAACTGGTGTATAATAGGTGTATAATAGGCGAGTTTGCGTATTATACCCAAGTTGGTGGTTTTAATTCCCCAACCTAATGGTATACGTTATAAAATCAACACTTCAATTTTATTATATCTTGATTCTTAGAAAAACGCTTAACATAAAGCTATTTAAAGTATACGTCGATGTATATAGCTCAACATTACATAATAAAATGCCATAATTTGTGTTGGACCTGACAATGGCCTACAACACAGCTGTGATATCCCACTAGTGTCATTTGATGATTTTCTGGCTATGAGTAAATGAAACATATGATCAAAATTGCAAGTGTTCCCGACCATGTACACACAATTTTCTCTGTTGAAAGTAGTTATCAAAATACAATTTCTTTAATAATATTAAATGTTATTTAGTACCTACCCCCCCCCCCCCCCCCCCCCCCCGCAATATTTCCAGACAAAATTAATATTCGATATGCTACATTTATATTAATAAACGACACAATTTATTTTCTACAACATGAGATTAAATTTACGCATTATGATATGTCTTATGGCGCACCAAATACCATTGTCCGTCACAGCTGTTGTGCAATTCTCAAAAAGCACATGGCATGGCGTAGAATTCCGACAGTCGGCATGGTAAGAATTCGCTTGTAGTTGAGAGTATTGTGTACTTATTTTAATTTGAAAATTAAGAAATCTTGTTTCTTTACGAGTTCTCACCGTTCACCATGTCACCAGCCATTTTGTATTTGGTGACAACGATGTCGGATGCCGGATTCGGCTCCTCCTGATCGTCTTTGTCAGCCATCTTGGAATTCACGTGTTTGACTTCTCATCGCAGTGCGTGGCGGGAAAGATTATATCTAAGGTAGATAACCCTGCCATAAATACCAGAGATTTGTTTGTAATACTTAGTTTACGAAAGCTAAAACCAGAAAAATAGAGCAAACAAACTTACATTAACCAATTTCAATAAATAAGAAATTAAATGATCCGACTTGCAATATCTTTATATCACTAAATAAATTCGTAAATTAGATTTATCTAACGTTATATAACTTTTAGAGGAATCTTCGTAAACGTACATCTTTATAAATACATCCAGTAATTTCCGCTTATTTCACCAAATAGCACTGCTATTAACTGCTTTTACCGATCGCGATATTTGTAGCTGATATCGAGCTATGCGAAATTTAATGTTTCTTTTTAGACCAAATTAAAAATATGCCCAAGGGGCATGAATTGCTATCCTAGATTAATTGAAGTAATTTTAATAAAATTTGTTCATCAAAAGTAATATTTCAGATATTTCCTGATTATGCATCCGAAGTGGGCGGCGCCCTCAGGACTCAATATTATGGGACTACCTATAAATAGTTTGATTCCCTGGCCCCAAGATAATTAATTAATACCGAATTTGGTTGAAATATGACCAACTGTTCTGGAGGAGTAGGCTCTAATAATGCAGGGAAATTTGGTTGAGATCTCATTATTTAGTTTAAACTATATCTTATTTCATTATTTGGATATAATAATCCTGGAAGTAAGTCCAGGGGATGACCTAACGGCTATCATGACAGGGTGACTGTTGTCTTTGCTAGCTCGTAAATATATGGTTTCAAGGAGATCTTTACCTTTTCCAGTTTACTAAATTATGACCCAAGGAAAATGCCCAAGAGAAATGATATGTAGCATGACTGTTCGTTTCTTTTTTCCCAGCCGAAATGAAATAGGTATGTGGTTAATTATAGGGCAGGGATCGCAGCCATTTACAAGTTGTTACTCAAGGAATATGTCCCCAATAGTGGGACTGGACCTAGTTTTTAGTTCTGAAAGCATGATTGTGTTCGTGTCCTATGCCTAGCAAGTAGACAGGAGTAATAGGGTAGGATCTCATGCGTCCCCAGTACTTTATAACCCAGGGACGCCGTGTGGTCTCGAAACTAGGTCAAGGTTATTCACATGGAGAGACCTAATCACTGTCTAAATATCACAACCATAGGCCTTCTTGACCTTCTAAACATTTTTTGAATAGTTTAACTCATTATAGACCTTACTAGCCATTGAACCCTTTCAGGCCATTGCACTCAGTCAGAGCTTAATTAACACGAACCTTTGAACTCATATATCTTCTTGCCAAAGTAAAGGAACGCCTTCTCTGATAATGTGAGGTTTTTTTCTGAGAAAGGTAAACGCCAAAGTATTTGGAACATATTTTGTGAAAAACCCAACAGAGATCAAAATGAGATATTCTGAGGACGAAATCTCGAAAATGATCGAGTTTCTGGTTGACAATATCTTGGTAAGATTTTCCAGCAGACTGTTCGCAATCCTATGGGGGGAATCTCTATCCGCAGGACGGCTAAACTTATTGAAGAGTTTATTTAGACTGGAAACAAAGACCTTGTCAATTAAGTTCCTTGATTTCACTTTCAGATAGATCGACGATGTACTTTCTGTAAATAACAAGAAACAAGTGAGAGCGTCCATTGTTTTACCCTCATTAGTTTGAAATAAGTGAGAGCGTCGATTGTTTTACCCTCATTAGTTTGAAATAGAAAAACACTACATAGCTGTTACAATAATGTGTTATTTGTTTAGGCGATGTGAATGTCGAATTTTTGTTGTTGTTCTTGTGCTCATTCAGTTACTACCGCGGTTTTCCTTTGAGTATATGACGTTGCTTGTGTTTGACCAATACAAGTAATGTTGGTGGTTGGTGAAAACACCTAATCTTACTCTCCTAGTAGCTTTTTAAGGGTCTCTATGAAAATTTCATTTTATTTTCAAAAGTGGATGTGTTCGACGTAGGGAATTTTCGGAATATGTTTGTCCCCATAAATATACGAACTTCAGTTTTACAACGGCGGAGTGCATTATGTAAACTCGTCTGACAGAGTGTATATATATCAAGATATGTGATGATGGTCTAGTCATTCACAAACTTCTAATAATTACTACTTTTCCTCTTGTGATACTGTCAGCTCCACTACAGCTAGATCCATGTTGGGGGAACCTTTGTGTTGGCGAAGCGACGTACCGCGATGGACGTCTTCTCGCGTATCCCTGTCCTTTAATGGTACAGTCGCATGGATCCCGCAGCCCTCCATGAGGCTCTTTGACACCCATCCCTCGCCCCTTTCGATATTCAACCAAATTTGTCTCTTCCTCCATATAAGGGTTTCCATTCATCCAGATACATCCTCCTGGATGCTGTTAAGGTAACTATGGAACATAGGTTTACATCATGTTCAAAGTTGGTAACCTGCTTATATAGAGCTACAATTAAGGTCCTTGATGTCCCAAAACTGCATATTCATTTTAAATGGAAGTACATCATTCAGAGAAGTTCAGACTGTAACTCTGCACGTTCCAGATGCCTGTGATCGATGAAGTCAGGACAATTGTTTAAGGATTGCTTTGCATCTTATCATTGGACTATGCTTCCCTGTTGCTTAATACCTTATTCATGTGTCACCTTCTGTCGCTCCAACTTACTTTAAGTGTTCTAGGTAAAACCGTTGACCCAAACCATTGTCTGCCCATTACTACCATTCTAACAATACCACCAGACCATGGCGTAGCGTAGACGTTGCAATCTTCCCTTTTCCTACTGCAATCCACTTACTTCCTGATCTCTACCCTTGCTTGTTCCACTCTTTTATCACCATTGTCCCTCAGCATTACTGAATATCACTTATTGCACCTTGGTAACTTGAAACTGATTCGTCAAATTTGGATTAAAATTGGCATAGCACACTCACACAATACGTCGATCTAGAAGCTTGGGACCACTTTTCAATGCTGTTTATTGGTCCCGCTTTGGTGTGGCATCGTCTCATCCATCAATATTTTCTTTTTACCCCTTTTAAGGCTAATGCTTCTTGTCTTAACTGTTTTAAATGTCATCCTCGTCACTTTTATCATCACAAGATATTTAAAAGCCAATGCTCCTTCCACTAACCTATTTTGTTGTTTGACGTTCTTCTGCTGTCATGAATAGTTGTCTGCGCATCTTTTCTACAGACTTAACCAAGGTTCGTAGCAGTTTTAAACTGTTACACCGACATTGTACACCCGGTCACCATGACAATTTTCATGCGTTGCCATGGCGTAGTGTTTCCACTTAACACGTACTTACATCTGTATTTGCTAGGTTTAGCCACGACAGTTCCTGGTCATCTTTGTCCTCCCAAACTTCCCTGTGACATTGGGAGACAAAACGAAGTGTTCCCAATAACCAGAGCCGTCTAGTGAAGTCTCCTTTTTGCAATGATATGTCCAACTTGAATCATGTCATTTATCTCACAAGCACTGCCAAAAAATGTCTTACATGTAGGTTAAAGAGTAGAAAGGTCCTAAATTGTCTCTATTTCCCCCATTTGTGTGTTCTCTCTACTTATGTCATCTCTCTGCCTGTCCTCGCCATTCACAGCCATTTCCACTTGAACCTGTACTGAAGCTGCCCTAGCTTTCTAAACGATGTCTTTGGTGCTCTCTTGGTTCTAACGGGATAGATGCTTCCGCTTTAGACAAGGGACACTCCAGCCTTTAGATCACTTTCTTGTGTGTAACCTGGAGGCAAACTGAAACGGGTGAGTAATGAACCTTGCCCACTTCTGTATCCTTTCCTTCCGCTCCATGTTTTCTTTCTCCATAAGTGTCAGAAGTCTCTCTCTTATGACCTGGGTCAATGCCGCTTCATTGGATGTTTTTCCTTCCTCTGACAAACGTTATTATCTTGTCCAGTTCCAATTTTCTTTCCATTTCCATGTTCTGAATGATAGGTGCCATTCAAATAATCTTTTGTTCTATCGTAAATTTTACTGTAGTTGCAATATCTTCTAGAATCTGGTGCCAAGGTTTTTTCTGTGTAGTCAAATTTCTTTTTGACACTGTTACCCTCCTTCTGATCAATTGCCTGATCCTCCTCTACCATCTCACCATCATTTTACTCTCCAGTTGATACAAGGAGGCTGTGGTCATTGATGTCCAGATCAACAGGTCGTTGGTATAGACTAGGAGCTCGGCCAATCTTGTGAAGTGTGTCTTTAAATCTTCTCATTCTTGGATGTCTTTCAACAACCTCCTTGTCCATTATTTTGAGTCCTGCTTAAACTGGTGATATTTCCAAAGTTTGTCCAATGAGTGGAAATAACCATTTACCTTTCAGAGTGTGCATAGTTGCAACATTTATTTCTTTGTTAAGCAAGTTGAAATGAAACTACAAACAACCAAATATATAACAATATTTTGTTTTATTTTCACAAAATACTGCTGAACCATTAACTGATATTATCAACTAGTCAAACATAACATCTTATAACATGATCAACTGCTAATGTTGTTAATTGCACATTTAATGGAACTTCATGAAAAAAATGGGTGGGAATAAAAAATAAATAAATTGAGAATGTCTGAGGTGTATAGCACACACCATGCACATGTACACACACATGTAAATACCATGCAGTTTGTACATAAACTTAATATAAGGTATGCTGAACTAACATCCCACCCTAACACATGCATACACTGTACATATCCTCACAGACAAGGTCAAGCTAACACTCTCACACATACACATAACATTGCCTAGGGTAGACATACAACAGTGACATCAGCAGCAGGAAAGGTTACATAGTCTAGCTGTAGTCTGCTCTTGATTCTTTACACCAGTAATGCAAAGTCATGTATGATATGACAAATGTAAGAAAAATTACATTTTTTCTGATTGTTGGAAAACAGAATATTAAAAGAGTTATTTGTGAACAGCAATTGGTATAAGATGATGAAATCAATGACTAAAATTGTTCCCTGTATCATGTTTCAACATTGTAATAATCTTTGTCAGTATACTTGTGACAAGATTTCCCAGAGAAAGATAAAAACAAATTTCTTGCTGCAGAGCAATTAACAATAGTATGGAAGATACTTATTTGGTTTGCTATTGAAAAACGAAAGTATTAACAAGAAGGATTGTTTTGGTAAACAGGTGTGTTCAGAGATTTGTGTGTACCCTTACATGTACTGACTGGCATTACATAATACTTCCTATCACTCTTGACTTTCTCAATTACAACACATTCAGCACAACTTGAAAACTCTTGGTAATAACAGTATGTAGTATAAAGAGGGTAGAATGGTTTATATATATTATAATATTGCATTCAAAAACCAACAGCTGAGCAACACAGACTTCTCCTTATTTTAAACTACGTGTAATTGTAAGTAAATAGGTCAAATAAAGGTTACCTACATAATGATAAGACAAGCGACCTCTGGCAACCAGTTCTGAGGAAATTTCCTTAATCTCATTCAAATTAACAGATGGAGAAAAACTGTGAACTTGACAACACTTTTCAAATAAAATCAAAATTGCTTCATATAATGGATTGATGAAACATTAACCAATCAAGTTGACAACACATTCTATTGCTGTGACATGCTACGTAATATTACATAGCACTGGTACATGTAACAGTGTAATGAGTGCCTGATAAGTTGGCCTTTTTAAATACACAATGCCCAGTTGTTAGATTTGATAGAAAAATTCAGCATTGGATTTTTGCAACCTAATTAAAATTATATCTTCGCATCACTCCCATTTACCAGTATGATGCTACATATCAGTAAATGGGAGTAATGTGATAATATATTTTTAATTAGATTGGGATTTTTGCGAAGTATCTTAAAATTAACTGATATTTCTGTTTTGTTTTTGGTCTTAAGGTGGTCGTGCCTTTACATGTCATTTTAGTTTTGAACTGCAATATTTTTGAACATCTATTAAAAGCTTTGCAATAATATGCTTTTCAGCTAGTCAGCATTAGAAAAACTAAGTCCAGATGATTTACATAATAACAGATGAAATTAAATTGGTAACTCCATATCACTCCATGGGATACACTCACTTTCGTTCTCTGTATGCCTGGAATATGTCATAGCAAAATTGAAGGCACACGACTAGCTATTTGATTGGTCTCAGGTCAAAATTGCCTGACCAATCACTAGGCTGATACTTGTCCTTTAAAGATTACATAGGAGCGAAGCCAGACTTCAAAGCCAGTCAATTTTACTGTTACGCCACCGACATATTCTTTTGATGTACATCAAGTATCAAACTAGTCTTTTCGTCTCATCCACAAGGTGGTGCATAATTACCCTTGGTCTTGCTATCACATATTCGAGGGGTACAGAGAGCGAAAGTAAGCGTGACCCCTGGAGTATCGAGGATGAAAGCGGCTTAAAACTAAAATGTAGTGTTTTATGAGTGTACAGCAACCTCAATATGGCACTGTTTAAGTATACCTAAATATGGCAATGTATATGTATACAATGATCTTAATATAGTATACATTAGTATACACAGCGGCCTAAATGTAGCATTTTTTGAGTGTACAGCGAACTAAATATGGCACTGCATAAGTATACAGCGAAGTAAAATTAGCATTGTATATAAGTATACATCAGCCTAAATGTAGCACATGGTGACCTGGCGAGTCATATAATTAATGAATAGTTCTAACACTTATTTCAATGAGAGTAGACATACAACTATGGTTAACACTTCCATACAGAACTGTAACAAATATATGTGATATCCTATTGAGGTATTAAATCCCAATTTGTGCGACAGGCTTTATGTCAAGTGGTCTTTGGAGAGGGAAGCATGGTAAAACTTATCTTGAGCAAACTACCAACCTAAAATTACAGTAAACAACAACAAAAAGGTCTATTAATACAAAGTGCAAATGCTGTTGAGCATACCTAAACTGGATTTCTGTAGCTGTAACTATCAAGGTATTATAATTAACCACCCCGATATTTGGTCTTACTAACACCTAGTTCTCACCTACCATTATCTAGATACCTTCCAGATGATCTCATCTACCATTATCTAGATACCTTCCAGATGATCTCTAAGTCAGAAGTACTACTACTTAGGGTGTATTCTGTCTTGACATAAATAAAAAGTTCCAGATTTGCAGAATATTATGTGACTGGAAATTATGATGATTTGGTTATAATAACAAATAATTTCCACTCTAAAGCCTCTAAATAAACATATCAACTCAAAATGTTAGTACAGGTATAAAGCATAACACAAGTACTATTACAATTTTTTTTTTCAAGTAGGGAACTATTTGGGGTTTTCCCCATCATACAGTTAAAGCAATGAAGTCAAATTATTAATATGACAGAAACTCCTCAATGGTTTCGGGTCGACATCTGCCTCCTGTCAAAAATTATAAGTATAGAAAACACAACATTGTTTCAGCTAAAAGGTTGCTCCACCATTTGGTAGAACAATTCGGTTCAAATTCATCATGAATGCGCATGTACAGAAATCGTCCTGAAAGATACAATTTTTTTTTAACATATACATGTACATGTACAGTAAGGATTGAAATGCATGTTTTCAATATTTTTGATCCAATGAAAACATATTGCTTACGTATTCTCCAAGATGCAATTTTGCACATTATGGAATATGTTTATGAGCCACTGTGTTTCACACCCCCATGAATGTTAAGAATTTCAGTTCTTAAATATCCATTGTGACAATTTTCATATTTTAATTATATACAGAGTCAGCTGTACAAATAAATTTTCTTTATATGTTTTGACATAGCAAATTGTAAACTTAATGCCAAAATATCATTTTGCTCTATAAAAAAATACTTTTAGATGTTCTACCTTGTAGGAGACTTTCTTCAATATCAGTACTGTTAACAGTACTGAGGGTGAAACAGCTCTCCTATACTTTCTACAGGTAACACATCTTTAGTTCTGTTAACAGTACTGGGGGGTGAAAACAGCTGTCCTATACTTTCTCCAGGTAACACATCTTCAGTACTGTTAACAGTACTGGGGGTGAAACAGCTGTCCTATACTTTCTACAGGTAACACATTTTCAGTTCTGTTAACAGTACTGGGGGTGAAACAGCTGTCCTATACTTTCTACAGGTAACACATCTGAACGCCGACCACTGGCTCTAGTATAATAACATGACTATACTTATATATAAAACATGCATGTTTGTTTCAGTCAACAACACAGGACATGAATGACAACACACTTCATTATCACTTATGAATGATTAATACTGATCCATAACCTTAGCCCTGAGAGATAAAATGTGTAATAAAACTGAAAAAACCCCAACTGAAATAAAATCAGTCAGATTTAAAAAAGATGATGATACCAAGTATTTAGCTTGTCTGTTCCTGTCTGATATAGACATGTTGGTCCCTACAAGAGTCAGATATAAGACGGGAAGGCCAGTCTGTAGACAGCACTGACACTGGAACTGTAAGTTGTGATAGCCCTCAATGATAGCATTGTGGGAAGACCACAGGGGTCAGATATTGGTACAGAAAAGGTCAAATCATACTCATTTAATAGATCTATATACATGTATCAATTTTGAGATGTATTTTTGTCTATCAAATAGTTTGTTTTGTCCATTTTTCAATTAGTTTTAAATTTGTATATGAGAATAAGACATAGTCTGTCTTTTTGCTGTTTTCTCAGTGTTGAATTTTTCAATTGTGTCAGCGTCTCTTGTTCATATGTAAAAAAAATTATACTGAATACTAATCATGTGTTTGAGCAAATAATAGACATGCTTTAGCGTTATGTAGCCATGGTATTTGTTTCAAAGGGAAATAATTCATAAGTCACTTGTGAAATTAGCAGACCTATCTTTGAACAAACTAATTGTGATATCTTTCATTTTATTGTGACATTTTATGAAGCCTCTATTTAAACTACATATTTTCATAATCGATTAATGTTTGTTTTCTTAGCAACATAATGGAAGGCCTTGATATACAAATACAAGATAAAATCAGCCGTACGGAAGCTCATGGCTACTTCAGCAGAAACATCACAACTGAGACTTACATAAGTTTGCCAAACATATTACTACACAGAATTAAAGTCAAATGCTGTACCCAGAGTCACAAGAAAGGCATATAGGGTCATACCATACACCTCAAGACCACACAGCAGAGACCAAATTTACACCAATGATGCAACACCTAACAGTCATCACCTGTTATGTACTAACTTAAAGGAACACTAATCATCGGAACACAACCTATCTTTTGGCATTAGCTTATTCTTGTTACAGGCAAGACACAATAGATTGATTAAAAAGAGCACTTCATTATTACAATCAGGTCAGTAGCAACATTCATCGTATTTGTTAAGGATAATATTATGCTGAATATACATGACAATGAAATTTATATCTTTATGAATCCTACCTATAAATCATATATTCTGTGAAGCCAACCTATTCAACATGTTTTTCAGGCTTAAAAAGTGAGCAATATTATTAAAGCAAGTTCATACATAATCTCATTTATACAAAACTACAGAAAAAAGTCTCACTTTGTTTGTGTCCCATGAAAACAACACCTCGTCAGTAAAAGTTAAGAGTTGCTTTCCAGGAAGACTTGTTCAAGTTTGGCCCAGATTTGAGAATCTCAACTAAGTAAGTAGTCCACATTCTCTTGGAAAACATAATAACAACATCTGATTGACCTACAACTACCCCTACCTATGAGGGTCATTTAGAAATTTAAGGTACATAGTCCCATCTTTTTTCCCCACATTCAATGCAAGGTAGGTCCCTTATAATGATTCTATTTTGGGACAGTGTAAAATCACAAGAGGGGCTGATACAAGATCACACACTAAATTTCATTAATCTTTTTTTAAAACAAAAGGTACCTTGATATAAGATCTATTGTGGATATTACGGAGATAAGAGCACTGAATAATTGTCTTCATCTGAGAGATGACAACCTAGAAAAGCCATGAAAATATTATCAAAACACACCAGAGTGAATAACCCTTAAACACTACAGTGAAACAAGAGGCCTTGTCTGAACTTATGTTACTTGGCATACAGTACATGCATAGGAAAGAGATGAGGCAAAATTTAGTAAATATTTACCCCTATTTTTTAAAAATAATTTGGATTCAATTCTATGTTAGCAATTTATTATATTGACTATTATGTTTTGCTACTATGTTGCTGTACAGGGATTTGTGTGTAGTGTAGTGATACTCGCCACACTTCTCATTACATAATGAAATACTGGCATATGTAATATTCCTATACCAATGGATATCAAATACATACACCATATTACTATACATACTACATATTAACTCCTTTTGAATGAAGTGGGAATTATTCTCTCATGAAACATAATAGTTTGGCTTATTCTACTGACATATGTCCACTAGTATACGTTATAAGTAATTGCTATTAGTCACTGGGCATCAAGGATTTGATTTTCTATGTTCACTGTACAACCAGTTGGCATACATTTAAATAAGAGGCTGAAATAACTCACCTCATTTACACTCATCTCTGAAGTACCTATGAAAAATTGAATTAACGACCTGGAAACAAGCTAAAATTGAAATGTATATTACAGTAATATAAATGTGCATCTCTTTTTTTCTATATAGTTTCACAAAGTACAGTTAAATTGTTAGCCTATATTTTGGTATTCTTTTAAACTAGAAAAGAAGCTGAAATGTTCCTGACAATTGAAGACCATGGAAGCCATCTTGGATTTCAAATTGAGCTGCAACTTTTTACAATAATAACACATCAGCGTAATAACAGGAACATTTGTAGTAATTTTTGTTAACATCAACCAACCTCAATGTCAACAGTACCTGGACACCTTGTCAACAGTACCTGGACACCTTGTCAACAGTATCTGGACACCCTTGTCAACAGTACCTGGACACCCTTGTCAACAGTACCTGGACACCTTGTCAACAGTACCTGGACACAACAGTACCTGGACACCTTGTCAACAGTACCTGGACACCTTGTCAACACCAATTTCCTATACAAAACTGATTCTGATTGCCCAAGAGTTGCTCTATAGTCAATTAAATTAACTATGTCAAGCAGTTTTTCAGATTATTTTTTTAAGTTTTACCCCTCCAGCCCCAGGACAGCTGCACCATTAATTCACACAATTTTAACTCTTTTTGGCCAAGGGACACTCCTTACAAGCTAGTTTACAATTCCTTCAGCATAGAATTGTAGAGTTTGGGTTTACTAACAAGTATATGATCATTACTGTGTATGGTGCTGTTCTGCTGAAGTTATTACCTATAACAGTGTTTCGGTCTCTAAAATATAGAAATTTAGCAAAATTAGACATCTCAGTATAAAATATAACACACAATCGGAACACAATGGTTGATGATGATGTCAAAATGGCATTAATGAAAACATTGGCAAAAGTATTATAGAATGCTTAATTTCAAATCACACAAACTATATATTATGTATATCACTCAACAACTTTTCCTTCCCATTCTGTGTCATAGCTGAACACCATCTATTCCTTTAATTTGTATTTTTCTAAGCACCACTAAACAATGAGATGTTTTGCCACTCAACATGGCACCTCTGGCCTATCAAGGCAATACAACATACATCGGTACATAACTGACCTTTATATCACAATACATGTTATAACAATTGTACTTTTTACATAGCTTTGCTACAAATACCTCTTGTAACAAATTCATTCCCATATGTCTATTACAAAAACATATATTTGATAAAAAAAAAATCATTCCATCAAAATAAATAAAAAAAATGCATATAAATAAGTTTTTTTGTTCAAAGAAAAATCCCATACATAAATAAAGCCAATTCTCTCAGAAAAACAATAACATCAGATATTTGCATTGCTAGGCTTAACACTGATCACTTGTATAATTATAGCATGATCACTGTCACTAATGATGAGATAACTAGTGTTACTAATGGCAAGTTTACTAGTACTAATACTAAAAGTGTAATGGTGAGTTAATAAGTTTTAGTAATGGTGTGATCACTGTCACTTATGGTGAGTTAACTAGTTTTAGTAATGGTATGGTAGCGAGTTTACTAGTATTACTAAAAGTGTTATGGTGAGTTAATAAGTTTTAGTAATGGTATGATCACTTGTGAAACTAATAGTCAAATAGCGAGTTTAAGTGCTGCTACCACTAGCAATATTGCTACTAATAGTGTGATCATTAGTACAACAGTGTAATAGCGAGTTTACTAGTATTACTAATAGTAAGTGCAATGGTGAGTTAACAAGTTTTAGTAATGGTATGATAGCGAGTTTACTAGTATTACTAAAAGTGTGACCACTAGCACAGTTACAACTAGTAGTAAAATCGTGAATTTACTAGTAATATTAACAGTGTAATTTATTAGTAATGTGACCGCTGGTACAATAGTGTAATGTTGAGTTTACTAATGTTGTGATCACTAGCGCTATATAACTTATGTTGTGATCATTGGTACAATAGTGTAATATTGAGTTTACTAATGTTGTGATCACTAGCGCTATATAACTTATGTTGTGATCATTAGTACAATAGTGTAATGTTGAGTTTACTAATATTGTGATCACTAGCGCTATATTACTATCTTATTGTGTGATCACCAATACATTACTACCAGGTAATAGTTGTATCACCAGTATGTCTGATGTTTGCTGGTATCTAGCCGTATAAAGTTAAGTAATGGTCTAGTCACTTGTACGATCATCAACAGTATACCACTAACAGTGTCATATAGATAATTGTAATGTTTAACTACATAACAAGCATTTAAGATTGTGGTCAGACCATAAAAATATCACACACTTAAGTCCTTACAAATGATAACCTCTAAACGGTATTAACGACATCACTGTCAAAATTTGTCTAGCATCATGTTCAGAGATCAATGTATACAGATGTTTTTCTTTCTCCATATTTTTAGGCAAATAGTGCCAATTATAACTATTGTACCAGTTTAAAATGTTAATTAACAAATTAATCAAAGAACCTTATTCTCTTTTTGCGCAGAATTTCATAGTGTGATTGTCTTTGTGCCCAATTCCGGAATGCGATGCTCTTTGTGTGGAATCTCTGTTAGGATTTTTAGGTGGGTGGCCTTCTCGTTTAATGTAATTCTAGTGCCTGTCTGGATTTCTTGCGTAGATTGCCTTGCAAATGGATTGTCATCTGTGTGGATTGTATTTCTTCTTCCACATGGAATTAATCATCCTTGAAGGATGTGTAACTTTGAGGTTTTTGTTTTTTTTCCTTTTGTGACACCCAGGTCCACAGTCGGTTGAACACCTCTGACCGCACTGTCCCTGTGAACTTGTTGGTCAAACACATAGTAGTTGTCGTGGCAAAAACAGCATTACAAGTAAGAATAAGGTAAAAGTTACCCAGCCAGTCCATACTGCCAAAGTTCCCGATCAGGTCAAAGTTTGTAATACCTGCAATACCAACACAGATGATCAAACAGGGGGCAAAAGAGGGACTGATACAGGGGGTAAAAAAGGCAGGTTCAGACGGTCAACTAATTTCACAGACACGTCTGCCAAAGCAGGCTTGGCAGACATATTACAATGTAAGGCAATTTTAGAAGTCAACATCATTATAATCCTAATTCATTTACATTCTCCTCAGACCTAACAGGTTTTGCTTATAAAACTTTGACAGAAAGACTTCATTATGGTAAAATTATGAAACTTACAGGAATCAATATGACAATTAAAATGTTTGAAAAATAGCTGTAAATTTCCACTTTAAACATCAAACTGTTGCATCTAGCCACTCTCATCTTTTATCACTTAAAGTGCTTACTAATTTGCATAGAAAAAACAATTATGTACTGTCTAACACAAACTGAATTGAAGTTTTATGAATTAGCATATTTCATCTCCATAACTCAATTTGAAGACAACAAAACCCAACTTGGATGGATAGGTTGAATTCTGTATGAAGATCCCCCCCCCCCCCAAAAAACTACCTGCTTCGGGTACTCACCCATGATCCGAGACAGAACTGGCAGGGCTGAGCTAAGGATGAGCAGCACAACACAGTTGCCAATGGTCTGAACCATGGAGGTATTGTGTGGCTCTGGTGTAAGTCGCCTAAAGAACGGCAGCGAGTAGAATCCCTCTATAGAGGCAGACATGACATATCTGGTGCTGAGTCAAGGGACAAACAGAATAGTTCAATCAGGTTTGCTTAAAGTATGAGGGGCAGAATGAAGGAAATTCTCAGACAGAATAGCTCAACCAGGCCTACTTAAAGTATAATGAGAGACCACCAGCAGACATCAACAAATGATCTGGCCATTATTTGGCATAATAACACTGTCAAATTTAGCGTTGGATAGCTAACCTGTAATAACCCACATTATGACATCACAAGTAATAAGATAATGAGTTCACAATAAAACACAGAAATGTCAGTGACTTTTTTTCTTATTAATTTCGTGACCCATTTAGTTGAATTGTATGATAAAAAATAATCTATATCTACAAACTTCTTCCCATTCCATCAGACGTTTATAAAACTCAATGAAGAAAATTTCATATACCAGGGTAAACACTATTAATGGGAACTTGTGTACTTACTCATATTAAAATTGAAATCATTCTATTAATTGAAAGATTTGATGTATTGTACTATATAATTGTATGTAATATTTTCAGCAATCTCATAACTTATATTTTAGATGTTATTTATGTTGAATTCATATTACTATGTTTTAAGAAATACTATGTAAAACTAACACATTTTACTAATATAGAGGACCCAGAGGGAGATTAGCCTTTGGCTAAATCAGGGTTTTTTAATCCTCAATAACTGAAGTTTATTATTATTATTATTATAAAGATGTTCAGAAAATCCCTTATTCATCTGTAGCTATGACAATTCCGAGATAAAATGGTTAGCAGTATATTCAATTACTATATACATATGTAGGACTATTTTATGATTTTTCTGTCACAGAGGAAAACCAGAACACTGACAGGTCAGTAAGGGCCCTGTCTTGTGGCAATATATCCCCCATAATCATCAAGAAGCAATCTGCCCATATAGCTGAGCTTGACGTTTGACATTTGGACTTCAAAAAGAATCGCAAGGAAGCAAAATATACATTTTACATGTACTATGATGCGAGTCTTGTTTCCTTCCACCTCCATATTTGCTGGGCTAACAGAAATGTAAATACCAGTGCAATACTCATTTGTTAGCTTTGATTTGTTTTATTTCACCTTATATACCTCCTCCATCAAGAGCCAGGGTCGAAGTCAGAGATCCACTTTGTCTTTGACCTTTGGACCCAAATGATATTGACCATTAACCCAGTGACCCTGATCTTTGGTCAGTTGACTTATTCTTTAATTCCGACCAACTTTGCTTCATAATATCATAACAAAATGTTCATCAGTGAAAAATACAAAACTTGACCTTGACCCTTTGGACCCTGTAACGGGGACCTAAGGTCAGTTGACTCTGTGTTAAGTTCTGAACAAATTTGCTACATAATAACATAAAATGACCTTGACCTTAGGTCAGTTGACTCCTTGTTAAATTCCGACCAACTTTGCTTCATAAAGTCATAACAAAATGTTCATCAGGGAAAAGATACAAAATTTGACCTTGACCTTTGACCCAGTGACCTTGCCCTTCGGTCAAATGACTCCTTGTTAAATTCCCACAAACATTGCTTCAAAGTGTCATAATGAAATGTTCACAAGCAAAAACATACTAAATTTTACCTTGACCTTTGACCGAGTGATCTTGACCTTAGGTCGGTTGACTCTTTGTTAAATTCCGACCAACTTTGCTTCATAAAGTCATAACAAAATGTTCATCAGGGAAAAGAAACAAAATTTGACTGTGACCTTTGACCCAGTGACCTTGACCTTCGGTCAATTGACTCCTTGTTTAATTCTAAGCAACATTGCTTCAAAGTGTCATACCAAAATTTTCACCAGTGAAAAGATACAAAATTTAACCTTGACCTTTGACCGTATGACCTTGACATTTGGTCAGGTTGACTAATTGTTTAATTCTGATCAACTTTGCTTCATCATGTCATAACAAAATGTTCATCAGTGAAAAGATGCAAAATATGACCTTGACCTTTGAATCTAATGACCTTAACCTTTGACCTCAACTTTTTACCCAAGTGTGTCTCTTTGTTTAATTACGAACAATTTTGCTTCATAATGTCATAAAATGCTCATTAGTGAAAAGCTACAAAATTTGACCTTGACCCCTGATCCGATGACCTTGACTTTTGGTCAGTTGACTCCTTGTTTAATTCTGAGCAACATTGCTTCGAAGTGGCATACCAAAATGTTCACCAGCGAAAAGATACAAAATTTAACCTTGACCTTTGACCAAATGACCCTGACTTTTTACCTCAATGTGTATTTTTGTGAACTGAACATCTTGACCAAGTTTCATGTACATCGGTCAATAAATACCAAAGTTATCAGCCAGGAACAAAATTTGTGGACGGACAGACGGAGAGACAGACAGAGTGATTACTATAGGGCACCCGTATCAGAGATACGGGTCCGATACGGGGCCCTAATTATGATATCTTCCCTGGTCAAAACATGGAAAGGATACAGGATTAGGACAATCTCCAGGACAGCACCAACAGACCCCAGAGCAGACAAGGACGAGATTCCTAACACAGTCTCCTGTAACATAGAATTAATATACAATTAAGGGGTAATTCAGTGCTACAATTGTTATGGTTTTCTATGATATTAAAATCTGCCCAGAAAATATTCTGATATTTTAACTCAAGGTAATCAGTTATTATAAGGGTCTAATGACATATCCATGACTGTATATTACAATATGTACATACCTTGGCTCCGACTGGAAGGGCTTTGATTCCAACTAGGAGTTCAAAGAAATGGTGTGCCACACTTAACACACACAATACCTGTAATGTACAACAGGTTGTATCAGTTGATGTTATTGCGATCTTATAATTTTGAACTCTGCTGATTTAATTCAAACCTGTTTTGGTTCCAAAGCAGTGTATTTTATTATATTATGATGTTGATTTTTTTTTACTGTTATAACTTGATTGACATTTTTCTACATCTGGTTTGTAACACATAAAAGGCACATAATCACACACGAGATATACAAAATACTATGATAGATATCTAACTAAAGATACATATCTAGCACGGTTCATGTACTTTAATGCCACACTCAAGATCTACAAGTATACCCATTATCATTTCTGTTACCAGGGTAATGAAATATAAACTAGATATAAAGCCACACACAAACTGATACATCCTCATCTCACTTGTTAGTAATTATGTAAAATCTTTGATAATAGACTTGCATAGAGCTTCACATTATGTTGCATTGATACTGAAATTTCAGAGAATATGTCTGCACACCGATGAACGGACAGACAGCCACACTGATTCTCGACATGTCTACTTACTGTTAATGCTAACAAAGCAAGGATAACCAAGGGATATCCAAGGTTCCTTCTCAAGGGAGATATCTTTTTCCTTTTTTCTACAATAGAAACAAGACAGCTTCAAAAAATGACTGGGCATATATATTCTCTTCATATTATGGGTATAAAATGGAGTGTACGGAAAAGTGCTTCCAATTTATCTACATGTGCTTTCTACATAAGTAAAAATAAAAAAAGTGAAACGACACTTCAACCACACAGAGTGTAACATATTATCCCAATCCATATTTAATTGTGAGGTGCAGATGTTCTGCTGTTTATTGAGAATCAAGATCATCAAGCTGCCTCTCTCTGTAGGTTATATTTGATGGGTCCTCAAATAAGTCATATTTAAGTCCACACATAGGTATCTCATTGCTGAAAAGCTTAAGTATACCGGAGAAAGACAGGTATATTCCAGAGAAACAATTGCACTCTCAACAGCTGTTTGTCAGTGAAACTGTACGACAGGGCCCAGAAAGTACTCTACTGCAGGTGCACACTCATAAAGTGTTAACAGTTCAGAGCTATAGTTCACTTACCTAATTCAGCTTTATCTTTTTCTATTTCCTCCAGCTGTTTTTGTAGGGAGCCTGATGTAGCATGGCCATTTGCTATAGTGCTATGTTGGTGATGTACTGAAATGTATTCAACAATAGTGAAAGACCAACCTCAATCTACATTAATTTACATGTTGTATCTCTTTTATATACACCTTAAAGAAGAGAAACTTGTGGTTTAACTCCTACAAAGCTGACAAAATCTACTTTTCAGCAAAAATATTATCAAGAAACAGCAAATCAAACATAAGAAACCATTAGTCACCTTCAGTCATCTTCACACCTGTCTGAAGTATTGCTATTTAACATCCAATTACAATAATTTTACTATTTATTTAAAACTTAACAATGAAATAATTTTACAAAATCATCCAATTAATCAGAAAGGATTACCAGATAAACAAATTCATTCAATACCCAACACTTTTACTGGTATGTATGAAGAAAATGTGTTTTCACATTAATATTTACATAATAATTCTTATTGCAATATGCTCTAAATAAACATGACTCAAAATGTTTGTATTATTGTTTGTAAACAACAAGCAAACAAATACAGGTGATTTTTTTCTAAATTATAATTGTTCTTTTCTTTTGTCATTCTGTTCAATTATGTTGTTCTATCAAATCAGAAATTTGACAGGAATTATTAGAAGGTTTTATATTAACATTTGGGAACTTGCCAGAAACACTAACCACAGAATAAGCGCTTATTCCAGCAAAACAACACTATTTCTGTGATTTAGTGAACAGATGCAGTGATAAAGTTACCTTTTATTTGTTGTAAGGAACATAAATACAGGGATTGAATGAGTATTTTTGACATTTACGATGGTAAGTATCCTAGTTACTTACAAACATAATCTTTGAGATGAGCTACAGTACATCATGAGACATCTCCCTGGTATGTCTGTAAGCAACTTGTTCTACGCCATCGTCATTGTTAAGAATATGTATTTCAGTCATTAAATAAACATGTATCTTGGAGGTACTTACATTCACAGTCTATTTTCCTACGTATACTTTCCTCTTGCATTTTTAAAGTTGCAAACTCTTCATCTATATCTCTTAAAAACTGTAAAATAAGAGGTTATTTTTAATGTACAGCATATAACAAGTACTTACATTTTCACAAACCTCAATCTATGGAGCACTGGACCTACATTTTGTATGACAGTAGATATTAAGAACCTATATTAGCTTCAGTAAGTCTTACCAGGGCTTGTGTGCAGTCTATTATGAAAATTCTACAGGATGATGTAGAATTTGGAATATGAAAGAAAAATGTCCTTATCCTCCTGCTCCACATGCCCACAAATATAATTAATTAACTCTTTTTCTCCTAGAGAACCTTGTCAAAATAATGTAAAAATTGTCTAAATAATGTTAAAAGTAATATTTGTAGTGAAGAAAATGTATTTTATGTTCACATTCAATCTATAAAGTGAAAGCACAATTACATTTAAGCCATGACAGTACATGTTTGTGCACACATATTACATAATCAATTTTGATATATTTGATCTATTCATATTCAATTTTAATGTATAGATATTTAATTTTGATGCTTATATATTTATATCGAAAGTCTGGGTATCAAACTTAAGTAATGAAAATGTATTTTTAACAGTTACCCACTTTTGTGAACTGATCTTTCTATAACCTACAGAAGAATAAATATGAACTATATTCCATTTTGGATCTTGTGTTAATAGAAGTGATGGCTTTTCAAAAGTTATGAGCTTGTTTTAAGTTCTTGATAATTATAACATCTCATAAGCTTTTTTAAACTTAACTCTTTTAATTCACAATTCACTATCAAGAAAATTAATTGTTTCTGAATTTATTTAGAAATAAAATTCTCTGAATAACATGAATTATAAATACTGCTAAACTGTACATTTTTATCACTAGTTTACGTACCTTTGGTTTAACAACAAGTTTACCCATCACAGTAAACATTCGGGCAAAACCCACAGGTGTACATACTGCAACAAAGCATTTAAGTCAATATATACACACATTCTGTCAACAACAATAAGCCAAAGGGCCCGTATGATTCAACAGTTTGAAAAAAAACCACATATTTTACCTATGACCAAAGTCACCTATTTGACTGAATTAGATCATCTTCACAAATAGAATATATACAAAATTTATCTCAGTGAGCAAGATGACATGTGCACTCTCCCATTATCACACTCCTACAAATGAACTGTTGATATCATTATCATTTTTTAAAGAGACATTACAGAGTGTTACCAGAGGAGGACTACTGTCTTGAACAACAAATAAAACAAGTCATACTTTTAAACATTACTTGAAACTCATGTAATATTGCAATTATTTTTGATGACATTGTTCACCTTTTCACCACTATAGACCATAATGGACTCATCCATATGTATGTATGGTAGAGTTTACTCTAGTAACCTAGTGGTAAAAGAGTTACGATGCCAGTTGTGCCATCATGACATTGTATTTACAAACATAAACAGAATGTTTAAGGATCTCACATTCCTTTCCATCACACATATATCCATAATGAAACAATGCAAACACAAACAAGATACTTACAAAGTAAGACAATGACTCCAATAAATGATATGATTGCGTAAATATACGGCAAATAGAAGTTCCAGATATCTGAAAGGAGATCTAAAAGTAAAGAACCAATATAAACACAGGTGAGAGTGACTCTCCTAATGGGGGGGGGGGTCTCATATGAATTCATATGTAATGTGAAAAGTAATCTAACACGAGCTATAATGCATAAAGGTATTTAATGTAAGATTTTGTTGACCTTTTAAGATTTTGTTAAATTACGATCTCCATTTTTTTTTAGTTTTCCTTTTTTATCAATTTTGTACAAAATACACAACATTTCATGACTTTTCAACAAAACCAACATAAATAAGACTGGTAAAATAGAAGCTTTATGTACATGAAACAGAACATAAAAGATGTAAACGTTTTATGGAGTTTCAACACACAGAAAGTACTGGAAATCTAAGACTCATTGTCTAAGACAAATCTTTATAAATAGAATTTAGATAAATTTGTGTTGAAAGACAATATGTATATGTTATGTTGTAGTTAATATTTTAAACACCACTATTAAAATCGTGTCCTGGTGGATGAAAAAGTAATAAATTTGATTGTTACTTTCTGTACTAGGAATTTATCAGTGAAGTATAGTTAGTAATAGATTATTTTGGGATTTGTCACTATTTAGCACTAATTAAAATCCTAATAAATAAAACTATCACTGTCAGTAACTTAAGTGATTTATAACAGACAACAGTTGAAACGATGCAAAAAAATCAAAGTCAACATCAATTTCTGCTGAGAAGATTTAAGTGAATTTCATAAGGATCATAATAATTGTATATTCTTACCAAATAATCTCTGTTTTTTGTGGACGTCTTCATCAAAACATGCAGACACGACCCACACACAACCCACAATAACAAGGGTGAGTAGGAAGAGGACAATGACAGACTCGTAGACACGCGCCATTACACCCTGAAACATGATAACACCTCTGTGGCATTCATTTACAGTATAAACCACGCTGATTCAACGGGTCAATCAGACACAGGTCAACTAGATATCTTTTCTGACACAAGTCACAAAGATGTTGACTATGACAATCGCTACTCTAATGGTAATTTATCTAAAAAAATAATATTTTGAAATTTTCTCTTACAATTGCTAATTTAATGGTAATTTATCTAAATATTTAATATTATGAAATTTGACAGTCATATAATTGTTTTTCCTTTGGAAACATCTGCAGTGGTTTAACTGGACCTATGCTACCTTAAGTATGATTAGTCTTCAATTTGTATGTAGTATTGGTATAATATATGTATTGCCTTCCTATATATATCTATTCATTTTGACTGGTGACAGTTCAGAACATTCCGCTCATTAGAATAGGAATCTAGATTTCTGGCAAGACACTGCAAGGCAGATCAAAACACATCATTACACAAGATTCCATTGAAATCATCTCACCTTTTTATACCCTACAAAACCTTCAGATTCCGTGAAAAAATATGCAAATGGCATGAAGAAAAACAGTGAAACATTGGACATGGCAAACTGCATATTCCATAATCCTGGAAAGAAAAGAGGAACTTGAAAATATAGGACATGAAAGTACAAAAAGCAAGACAAAGTTCTTTTAAAAATAGAAAAGGAATAATTTTCTTTTCATGTAATAATATCAAGCTTTAATAAATATTCCATGGTATACTTTATCTCCAAAACATACAGGATTGTAAGACACGTTTTATGATAGTACATAAAGAAGTTAGCATGATGCCACAATGAATCTATACTAAGTAGAACAAACCGTGGATGAGGGAGCTGTTAAGCCACTTGACGTAATAACTTTTTGGATAGTGATGCAGCACTTCGTTGGATATGATAGATATGGGCAACAGCAGAACAGCACCAACAGACACGGACAGAGTGAATGTACACAGCCATAACCTGAAACATGGAGAAAATGAATGTACACAGCCATAGCTAGAAACAATGAACAAAGTGAAACGAGTAAATAGATACATGTACAGCAGCTTTAGTGTGAATAAGAAAGATAAATGTATCCAACCATTATGAGAAACAGAGACAAGTAGGAAGTACCAAGGCAAAATCAGAAACATGGAGAAAGTATATGTACACAGCCATAACCTTCAAACACAGACAGGGTGATTGTACAGATTTTTATACTTGTGACTTTGAAGAGAGGATCCGTGAAATATCCCATAGGGTCTATTTGTTTATGCAGAACAACCAGTTTATCAGTTTTCAAAAGTAACATTTTCAGGTATAAATCCTGGCGGACCAGAAATGTTTATGCAGGTCTCACAAGGATTGCCTGAAAGCAGCGGCGGACCAGAAATGTTTATGCAGGTCTCACAAGGATTGCCTGAAAGCAGCGGCAGATTACTAAGTCCGACCTCATTTCATAAATGAACAACTCTGGTTCAACAGGTCCAACTGTTTGCAGCACATTCAAGGAAAGCAGCTTCTAGTGATGGTTCTAGGGTTTTATCAGGATATTTTTGGAAATGAAACCAATAAATAATCCAATAAACTTAAACTCATAAAAACATACCCACCCAAAAAATTGATCTAGTCAAATTGAGTAAAAGATAACCATTTTTTAAGTTAAATGGAAGTGTATAGGGAAATAATAAAGCCCAGGGTTCACATTTGTTACTGTTTAAAACTATTTATCCTTGCCAAAATAATTGTCATTACTATATCATACGAAACCAAACTGCACTTTCAAATACTAAAACTTATGGAGCTGCAATTAGAACTGTCAAGTGTTCCCTTCATGTTCAAGTGTCATGTTTGGAGCTCCTTCTACACAACTCTCGCACAAACATACTTTGTAATCACATACATTTACAACATATTTTATATATACAAATCCTATTCACCATAAATGTGATAATAGACAAGGCCAGGTTCCCTCGCCAATAGGCTGGTTTATGTTGGTAACATTTGTTTATCCTTATATCAATGATAAATTTAAATGCATGCAACACACTTCGGTAACAACTACCTTTCTGTGTGTCTGAAGAAAATTCTCAATATTGTACAGGACGTCTGGTGTACTTAAGTGTTATATAAACATTTTACCTAATATATTTCTCTTTGTGCAACATCACAGAACATTAGCTGTCAATCTGATCGGTTGCATAACAAAAGTCAAAATAGCACACCTTTATAAAAGTAGTGAAAGTGACTGTCTGAAAGTGATTATAGCATTTGTGATAAAGTGTACATAGCACTAGATATATAGAAGGCAAGTCTATGTGCCTAAGTGTTTTGCCTACATTACACAACATAAAGTCACAATCACCAGCCCCCACGCTGTGAATCAATATGTTAATAAGCAAACTGTGCTTAGTCAGCACCGTGATTAATTTATCGTCAGGGAAAAAAGGATCTGTACTACAAGATACCTCAAAGAATATTTCCCAACTGATACTCCCTAACAGATATTGGATTTCAGATAAGTTATGGTATAAACAGTTGTGAACTACCCCCACTGGATGTGTCTGAGGGATATATCAGTAAATGATGTTGTTTCGTAAATTATCATGTAAAATTACAGCTTTATTCAAATTACAATTTGATTCAAATTTTCATCTTTCAAAACTAATCTTCACACTCCTTAAATGAACTCTGAGATCCCTCCCCTTCACCCCCTGCCCACCCTAAACCCTAGCCTCATCCCATTAGATTAGGTTGCTGCTGCTGTTTGATTGTCCTGTGATACTTTGGGAACAAGCTAAGGTTATAGAGTAGTGGTATGGCCATGGAAGAACTTAAAACCAACCATTATCATTAGAAATACAACATACCAAGTACATGTCAATTACCAGTACAGATACTTAACCAGTCATACAGCTAGCTGAAGCCATTATGTACGTTCGAAAGTCTAAAATCTGTCATTCTGTACACGAGTACACACAAAATGTCATAATGGAGTTTATTCTGTACACAATGAAAGTTAAGGTGATTCTGTACACAATGAACAGTATTCAACATAATGCCTTAATTATTCACACAGCACTGGTCCAAACTTACGCTATTCTGTATACAACAGCATCTTCCTCTCCACCTATAGAAAATAATCAGATGCATCAGGCAAAGATCTGCAACAAGATCTTACATACAGTGTGCATGTAAGCATCAAACACAAATCCTTCAGTTTATACTGGTGACACCAAATCTAGACAGGATTGGAGTGGCTGTGCATCAATATGGAGAAATGGTGGTTAAAGCCAAGTTTTATATAAGAAAGCTGGGGAAATGTTTTACTAAGAAACAATCTATTAATAAAGAGTACAGAGCTGATTATAAAGCAGTCCTTGAAGCTATACTTTCTGTTTATTAAGTAAGGCAGTTATTTTGCATATGGTATTTTTCATCAGGTTACTGCGCGAGTTAAAATGTAAATGGTAAAGGAATAGGCATGTATATAGATTGTAGACTATAGAAAATTTCACTACTCGATTTCCAATCCATTCACCAGCCAGGTAGCACCAACTGCAGTGTAATTAAAATGAGATCTTCCAAATGCTAAGGTTTATTTATATGTTGCATGGAAGATCTAATAACATCCAATGAAGGGTCACACTCAGATGACCTTTGCAACATCATGCCAATCAGATGACAGCTTAGGCTACTCTGTGAGTGATGATGTAATGATATTGGAACATACTAGAGTCACAAACCCCCCAGCTGCCAGATGTTTATTACAAAATGGTGTTGCCAATGACACCAAATGTTTATATATACAAGAGAATATTTATATGATTGGTGGGTTTTGTTTCTAGTCATGTTGTGGTTAACATGTTATACAAATTGAAACTAAAATCAACTGGTGACAGATTGCACAACATCCAAAACGTGACATGGTTGCAGGAGGTCCTGACATTGGACAAAAAGCAAAATCGAAACATGTGAGAAAATTGCTTTCGTATTGGTTAAAAGCAAAGAGTTTTCTCTCCTTTGATTGGCTTGTAAAAAATTAACAAGAGGCCCAGAGGGCCTGTATCGCTCACCTGGATATCAAAGTAATCATAGCAAAATATTCTCCAAATAAGATCCAAGGGAATGAGCCAGACCCAAAGGCCAATCCTTGTATCCTATCTGTATTAGATTTTTCATGCCCAGCAATTTTATGTATGGTAATGGGGTGGGAATCTCAACTGTTTCCAAGGTGCGACTCAGAAACTAGGTCCCTAGGATTGTGGCCAGACCCCAGGATCAATTATAATAGGAGGGACGGTAGTCCAGTGGTAGGACGCCAGGCTCGTGACCTAAGGGTTGCGTGTTCGAGCCACGGCACGGCAATGTGTTGTATCTTTGAGCAAGATTCTTTACTCCGCTTGTTCCAGTCTACTCAGCTGTAAATGAGTATGTGGTTTGACAGTGCTAGAATTGTTGAATGCTAGCTGTTAGCGCCGAAATGGCAGCTCCGGCTGTATGCTCCCCAGGGAGTTGAGAAATGTACTGGCTAGTTGCAAAGGCCCTATAACCATGGATAATAATTTGTGAACCGCTTTGAAACGACCTACGAACTAGGTTGTGATAAAGCGGTATATAAGAACATCTAATTATTATTATTAATTATAATATCATGACTGCATTCGTCTCTTTATGCCCTACAATTGTATGTATAGTTTTGGGGTGGGGATCTTAAGTGTTTCAAAGTTATGACCCAGGGGTTAAGTCTCCAATGGAGGGGGCCAGACCCCTTGGCAATCCTGGAAACATATGTGCATTCTTTTCTTCATTCTCAACAATTGTATGTATGGTTATAGGGTGGGGATCTCAACCATTTCCAAGCAATAAACTATTTTTGGCCCCATCCTTTAGCCAAGGGGGTCAGCCCCACTACGTGTAAAATTTGAATCCCTGGCTCCCATGAATGCTTCCAACTAAATATGATTGATATCTAGCGCTTAGGTCTACAGAAGAAGTCATTTATAGCAATTTAGCCAAATTGACCCCTTTTGGCCCGCCCCTCAGCCCCCTTAGGAGTCAGCCCCACCATTTGTAAAATTTTGAATCCCCATTACCTAGGGATGCTTCCAGTCAAATATGGTTGATGTCCATCTTTTAGTTGTAGAGAAGAAGTCGCTTAAAGCAATATAGCCAAATAACCTTTTGGGTCTGCCCCTCAGCCCCCTTGGGGTCAGACCCACCATTTGTACAATTTTGAATCCCCACTACCTAGGGTTGCTTCCAGTAAAATATGGTTGATATCCATCTCTTAGTTCCAGAGGAAAAGTCGCTTAAAGCAATATAGCAAAATTGATCCCTTTTGACCCCACCCCTCAGCCCCCTGGGGGGTTAACCCTACCATTTGTACAATTTTGAATCCCCACCACCTAGGGATGCTTCCAGTCAAATTTACTTAAATTCCAATCAGTGGTTAAGAAGAAGAAGTCGATTGAAGAAACTGTTGACGTACAGACAACGGACGCCACAGTATGGCATTATAAGCTCACCATGGTCCTTTGGACCAGGTGAGCTAATACATTGAGATTGACCTGTGACATAAGTCACATGATCCATGATGGGATGTTGGTAGACCTTAACGCAACACATCAATAAATGGGAATAATGAGAAGATTTCATTTTAAATAAGATTGCACCAGCTGAAAATCTGCAGCTTTACCCTATCACCAATTTTGAAATTCAAATTACACAAATCAATATACCATGGTATACATTTTACATACTGGTACATTTGTATCTATATATTTTTTCAATTAAACATTAATTAATTACAAAATAATATATGACCTACCAGCATAGGTGTCATCAGAATCAGCTTTTCTTTTGAAATAGCAGATAGTTATGTAGGAACTCACATACAGCAGGATGAAGAGCAGCATGAATATCTACAAATTAAATAGAACATAATATTATACATGTATAGGATATAAATCAAACATTACATTGTGTGCCAGATTCAGTGGTGTTGTTGCTCATCATTTCCATTTTCATGTTTAGGATATGTTATACTTCAACCACATGTGTATTGTGTATCAATCATACTGCATACCTATACAGCTAACAAACTTGGTGAGTTTGACTATTAAAGCAATACATGTCCCCAACAGTACAATGGGAATGTGAAAGGGAGTAGAAAGTGCTAAATATCAAATGATTTAATGAGTGGGAAAGATATACCTGTTGTTAAATGGTGCATATGTATTTCTATAAGAACAGAAACTACTGTACCCCTGAAAGCATTGATCACTCCATTTATACAAAATTGAGTACCTTTTGCCCAAGGATGCTCTACACGAAATTTGGTTAAAATGCCCCAAATAAACAAGTATTATGTTCCCCCTACTTGACCATTCCCCTTTTCCCCCAGGGGGACCATATTCTCTGTTAAAACATGGGTTTCCAGACTCCCCCTTGCCAAATGGTGCCCTGTACCAAACTTGGTTAAAATAACTCCTATCATACGTACGTATACTGAAGCAGAAATATTTTAACAAAAGGCCCATGGGCCTTAACGGTCACCTGATAAATTTATACAGAGAGTTGATTTTGTTTTTAACATGAACAGAAATATTATTCAAAGTGACAAAAAACAATAAAACCACCTTACTCAATATCTAGCATACAGATTTCAGACTAAAAAGGATTTGAAACTAGCACCTCCAGCCCTTGGGGGTAGGGCTGGCTCAAAATTTTCAAAGTATCAAACTGTCAATTCAAGGTTATAATTCCAATCAAGTTATTAACATGTAATATTCAAAGTATCA